AGACAAACAAAAGTGTAGGACCTAGGATTTTTTAGGAAAAAATGAGAAGGGATCGGAGGGAGAGATGTGCTCTTTGACGGCGTTGAAGAGCAACAAATTTTCTGACACCACCTAAATGTCGCATCATGATCCTTGCATTGAGTTATACAAAGGACCAAACAAGGGAATGGCCTTGCCTAAAGGTGGGGGGAACAAGCGAGGCCCAAACTTTCCCCCACAAGAATATCCCCCGAGAAACTATTCGATATTTATCTTGGGGGGATCAAAGCCATAACAGCTGTAAAGTGAACAGTGTGAGGACTTTCTAGGCCCGGCCAATTTATTTCCGTTGCCAGGTGGCCGTGCCGGCCACACCCCCTAGCCGGCCGGCTAGGTGTCAAAAGGGTCAAACTGATTTAGTGGCCGGCCACCAAATGATAGTGCCCTCCCATGTGTGTACAACACAACCCTGTGGTTAAAAGTCCAAGAAAATGGCTCGAGGGTGTTCAACATTAGCTCGGAAAGAGGGGTTCAAAAGGGTCAGGTGGAATTACTGGCCGGCCACCAATTTTTAGGGTCCTCTCATGTGTGTACATCACAAATATGTGGTTCAAAGTTCAAGAAAATGGGCCCAAGGTGTTCAACATTAGCCCGGAAGGAGGGGTTCAAAAGGTTCAGGTGGAATTACTGGCCGGCCACCAACTTTTAGGGTCCTCCCAAGTGTGTACATCACAAATATGTGGTTCAATGTTCAAGAATGTGGGCCCAAGGTGTTCAACATTAGCCCGGAAGTGTGAAAAACGGGCGCCGGAGGGCGTCGGAGGATGTATAACTGGTTGTTGCAACAATTACTGGCCTCCCACCCTTCAGTGACCTTCCTAGTGATAAAACAGAGGTACCTGCCAAAAATGAACGAAAACCGTTGCAAAACGAATGTTCGGGGGCCAAAACACGCAGTTCGGGGCCCCAGAAACTGCCCGTTAAACACCGAAAATGGTATTCGACCTCGAAGTGGGTTTCTCAGCCCCCAGTGTCCCTCAAAAGGGAGTATAAAGGAAGTATGCCAAAAATCAGAACAAACAGAGATGGTTAGGCGGTCCCGAACCGAGGCACACGGCCAACGATCCCGAAAAATCGGAAACCGGACTCCGAAATGGGCAAAATGGCCTACGACCACGAAATGTAGCCTACGGACATTGAGAGATGGTCTACTGGACCTCTCCCTTCCCTTAGGAAAAGAAACCAAGAAAATTGAGCCTGGTTCGCAAACCGAGACAAGGTACAAAAGAGGGTTCGGAAGTCCGGAGGCAGGGCTCACGGCCGCAACTCTGAAACTTCTGAACGAGCACATTATGCAACATCACCAAGCGCTCAATCAGTGACGTCTGAGTCTTAAGGTTGGTCAAAAATGGGGTGTCTACAGTGCTCCTGATTGGTTTTTTTTGCACTTCTTTCCACGATTCCAGCCTAGTTAGAGTGTCCCATTCCTCGCACGATTTTAGCGTGTTTCGAATTTATCTCAGGTTGCATCGAGCGCGCTTATGATTGGTTGTTTTTGGACCTTTTCTCACGATTTCAGAGTGGCTATAGTGCTCCTTTCCTTACACGATTTCAGCAAGTTTGGAATTTGTCTCGAGATGCGTTGAGCACGCTCCTGATTGGTTGTTTTAGAACCTCTTCTCCCGATTTCAGCATGGTTAGAGTGCACGATTCCATCGTGGTTAGAGTGTCCAATTCTTCTCACGATTTTAGCGTGTTTGAAAGTTATCTCAGGTCTAGTCGAGCGCACTCCTGATTGGTTATTTTTGGACCTTTTCACACGATTTCAACGTGGTTGGAATTTATCCCAAGTTGCGTCGAGCGCGCTCTTGATTGATTGTTTTTTGACCTCTTCTCATGATTTCAGCGTGGTTAGAGTGCTCATTTCCTTACACGATTTCAGCGTGTTTGGAATTTATCTCACGATATGTCAAGGGCGCCCCTGATTGGTTGTTTTTGGACCACGAATCTCGATTTCATCGTGGTTCGATTACCCCTTTCCTTACACGATTTCAACATGTTTGGAATTTATTTCAAGTTGCGTCAATCGCGCTGCTGATTGGTTGTTTTCGGACTTCGTCCCATTATTCCAGCCTGATTATAGTGTCCCATTCCTCACACAATTTCAGCGACTTTGGAATTTATCTCAAGTTGGGTCGAGCGCGCTTCTGATTGGTTGTTTTTGGACCTCTTCTCACGATTTCAGCGTGGTTAGAGTGCTCTTTTCCTTACACGATTTTAGCGTGTTTGAAATTTATCTCAGGATACGTCAAGCGCGCTCCTGATTGGTTGCTTTTGGACCATGAATCACGATTTCATCGTGGTTAGATTGCTCATTTCCTTACACGATTTCAGCGTGTTTGGAATTTATTTCAGGTTGCGTCGATCGCACTCCTGATTGGCTGTTTTTGGACTTCGTCCAATGATTTCAGCCTACTTATAGTGTCCCATTCCTCACACGATTTTAGCGAGTTTGAAATTTATCTCAAGTTGCGTCGAGCGTGCTCCTAATTGGTTGTTTTTGGACCTCTTCTCACGATTTCAGCGTGGTTAGAGTGCTTCTTTCCTTACACTATTTCAGCATGTTTCGAATTTATCTCAGGTTGTGTTGAGTGCACTCCTGATTAGTTGTTTTTGGACATCTCCTCCTGATTTCAGTGGGGTTAGAGTGCTCCTTTCCTTACACGTTTTCAGGGTGTTTGAAATCTATCTTGGGCTGTGTCGAACGCGCTCCTAATTGGTTCTTTTCGCACATCTTCCCACGGTTCCAGCATGGTTAGAGTGTTGTAATCCTGACATGATTTCAGCGCGTTGGAATTTCTCTCAGGTTGCGTCGAGCGCGCTGCTGATTGGTTGTTTTTGGACCTCTTCTCACGATTTCAGCGTGGTTAGAGTGCTCCTTTCCTTACACGATTTCAACGTATTTGGAATTTGTCTCGAGATGCGTCGAGCGCGCTCCAGATTGGTTGTTTTTGGACCTCTTCTCACGATTACCACGTGCTTAGAGTGCTTCTTTCCTTACACGATTTTGGCGTGTTTGGAATTTATCTCTGGTTCCGTCGAGCACACTCCGGATTGGTTGTTTCCGCAATTTTTCCCACGATTCCATCGTGGTTAGAGTGTCCAATTCTTCTCACGATTTCAGCGTGTTTAGAAGTTATCTCAAGTCTAGTAGAGCGCACTTCTGATCGGTTGTTTTTGGACCTTTTCACACAATTTCAGCGTGGTTGGAATTTATCCCATGTTGCGTCAAGCGCGCTCCTGATTGGTTGTTTTTGCACCTCTTCTCACGATTTCAGCGTAGTTAGAGTGCTCATTTCCTTACACGATTTCAGCGTGTTTGGAATTTATCTCAGGATATGTCAAATGCGCTCCTGATTAGTTGTTTTTGGACCACGAATCACGATTTCATCGTGGTTAGATTGCTCCTTTCCTTACCCGATTTCAGCGTGTTTCGAATTTGTTTCAGGTTGCGTCGATCGCGCTCCTGATTGGTTGTTTTCGGACTTTGTCCCATTATTCCAGCTTGGTTATAGTGTCCCATTCCTCACACGATTTCAGCGAGTTTGGAATTTATCTCAAGTTGCATCGAGCGCGCTCCTGATTTGTTGTTTTTGGGCCTCTTCTCACGATTTCAGCGTGGTTAGAGTGCTCATTTCCTTACACGATTTCAGTGTGTTTGGAATTTGTCTCAGGATATGTCAAGCGCGTCCCTGATTTGTTGTTTTGGACCACGAATCACTATTTCATCGTGGTTAGATTGCCCCTTTCCTTACACGATTTCAACGTGTTTGGAATTTATTTCAGGTTGCGTCAATTGCGCTCCTGATTGGTTGTTTTCGGACTTCGTCCCTTTATTCCAGCCTGGTTATAGTGTCCCATTCCTCACACAATTTCAGCGAGTTTGGAATTTATCTCAAGTTGCATCGAGCGCACTCCTGATTTGTTGTTTTTGGACCTCTTCTCACGATTTCAGCGTGGTTAGAGTGTTCATTTCCTTACACGATTTTAGCGTGTTTGGAATTTATCTCAGGATATGTCAAGCATGCCCCTGATTTGTTGTTTTTGGACCACGAATAACGATTTCATCGTGGTTAGATTGCTCATTTCCTTACATGATTTCAGCGTGTTTGGAATTTATTTCAGGTTGCGTCGATCGCACTCCTGATTGGCTGTTTTTAGACTTCGTCCAATGATTCCAGCCTGGTTATATTGTCCCATTCCTCACACGATTTTAGCGAGTTTGGAATTTATCTCAAGTTGTGTCGAGCGTGCTCCTAATTGGTTGTTTTTTAACCTCTTCTAACGATATCAGCGTGGTTAGAGTGCTCTTTTCCTTACACTATTTCAGCGTGTTTCGAATTCATCTCAGGTTGTGTCGTGCGCACTCCTGATTGGTTGTTTTTGGACATCTCCTCCCGATTTCAGCGGGGTTAGAGTGCTCCTTTCCTTACACGTTTTCAGCCTGTTTGGAATTTACCTCAGGTTGTGTCGAGCGTGCTCTTGATTGGTTGTTTTCGCACTTCTTCCCACGTTTCCAGCGTAGTTAGAGTGTCCAATTCCCCACACGATTTCAGCATTTTTGGAATTTACCTCAGGTTGCATCGAGCGCGCTGCTGATTGGTTGTTTTTGGACCTCTTCTCACGATTTTAGCGTGGTTAGAGTGCTCATTTCCTTAAACGATTTCAGCGTGTTTGAAATTTACCTCGAGATGCGTCGAGAGCACTCCTGATTGGTTGTTTTTGTACC